TGACAATTAGTCTCTCAAGGATAAACATTAATTTTGACCTCTTTTTTCTTATTAATATTAGGCTATTGAAAAACATCTCGTATGATTTTTTAAAAAAATATTAATCAATGGATAAAGTTTATAAGCAAGAAAATCGATCAAAATGTAATGTCAATCCCTATGGAATTGATCATATTGTCTATGACATAGTGCTTTGTTTTGAAACAGGAAGTTTATTATTTTTAAATGATATGTAATGTTATACATGTGACAGGGGGAATATAGAAAAGTGTGACACATTGCGAGAAAGGGGATTAAAAGTTTTAATAAAAAACATCGTTTATGGATAGCCCTTTATGACAATATTTTGCATATTAATTATTTATAATAAATACTTTATTTTGACACATATTTTAAGTTAAACTTTAATTTGTATTAAAAGAGTAATACACTTTTGATATTATTTTTTCTGCTCATAACTCTAATAAAATTTTTATTTTTTGCTTATTGTTTAAGCTTTTCCCATCAGGTGTGGTTAAGTAGAAGGTAAAATGACAACAACAACAGCAAAGACAGCAATTTAAATAATTTTTTTTTAATACATGGATTGTAAGATTTGTATAGAAACTAATATAAAAATTTTAACAAAAGTATTTTTGAAAATTTACAATTTATTTTTAAATAAAGAGTGCAATGTTATTTGATAAAAAGACTTACACGATTAGACATGTTCATTTTATATGATGGAAAAATATCCAATAGATATAATCTTTTAAAATAATTTATATTATATGAGTTGAAAATATTACTCTCAAAATGGACTAATGTCTTGATTAGTATAATATCCAGAATTGATTTAAAGAAAGCATTAAATAATAAGGATTTTACGATAATTCTGTATGCTTTATAAGCATAACCATAGACAGCATTGCATAATATATTTTATAAATAAGCTGGTAATTGACTGCCAACGTTTCAGGCTGTTTGTATTTGTTCAGAACAAGATCAGCGAAAAAATACTTATCTCGGATCTTTCCCGAGGAAAAGGAAAGTTTAAATTGGTGGCGTCATCTAGTGACATTTATAAAAAGATAAACATTTCTTAATTGTTTCATCAATCCATAGATTACTCCATAGATATAAAGGCAGAAAGATCAATCACTCGACCAAACGGACGTCACGGTGAACGTTGACATCACTGGTCTAGTAACTAGTTTGTACTCTATATCCACGCCCTCTAGTGAACTGCGGTGCTTGTTTATTGCAGCTGTACATAATTTGTTCTTTTTTTATTTGATTTTTATAAGTTGTAATGATTAATAATAATTGATAACATTCAGTCTCTTTGCCAGAAAAATCTGAAATTCGCAAATTTTATGACACATTTTTTTTCCAGATTTTTTTAAAGATTTATAATTCGTAAATTTTAAAGCTTAAAAAAAAAAAATTCTTAAAATTCAATTTTTTATATCATTCTGAAATTCAAATATTTGAAATAAAATAAAACACACAATTTATGTACTTACAAAAAATAAATAAAATAAAGAACATTTTAGTAAACATTCCAAGCTAGCCTCTTAGCGTACAATTAGTTTGCTAGTAAAGCGTTTTCTTGGTTTTCATTTGTGTGTAATGGAAATTCTAATTATTTTCATTCTAAAAGTTTTTCAAAATATGATTTTACTCCTCTATTTCAATTACAAGGTACTTTGATATCTGGGTCGTGATAAAAGTTTAAAATATAAGAAAGTGTTTCACAACATCTACTAAGATGACAAATTGTCTGTCAAGGAAGATAAAAAATATTAATGGTTAAAAAAACAATTCATTGCGATAATGAACATTTAGCTGTAATGCGATTATTGTTCAGCAATCTAAAAGACATTTTCGTGGTTTTCCTTTGCATTTAACGCAACATTTGATTTGTCTAAATTTTAATTTAATTTTAAATAATATATAGGTTACTACAAAAGCTTTTATAAGCATGATTTTTCTCTGATATTTAAATTGCAAGTTACTTT